AGAAGAGTGCAACTGCGGGTCTTTAGTGGAATGACCCTTAGTTAACGAATCTAGATTAACTTGGTCAATGAGTTTGACCGATTAATCTTGCATCGTTGGAGCTTCGGATCTATAGGTCCATTAGGTCCCCTTGCTAGCTCATAACGGGTAAAACGAGGATCAAGTTTTTGGAAGAATTTGAATTGTTCAAATTACTTAARGGATTATATGTATATTGATACATTATAATATATAGTTAATTGTAAATTAAAACTATATATTATGAGAGATATTATTTGAATGAGATTCAAATAAAATTAATATGAATAAGATTCATATTAAAACTATAGGTTAAAAATAATGTGAATAAGATGTACATTAGAACTATATGTTATACGAGAGAAATGCTATAGAATATGATTCTAATTTTATAATAAATAATTAAGTGTTATTTATTTATGTATATATATATTTATTAATTATTAATTGGATTAATAATTAATTAATTTGATTAATTAATTATATATATATATATTATATTATTATTTATTATTATTATTAATAATAAATAATATTATTAAACTCCCCTGCAAAATTGAAGGGGAGTGGGAGGTTTTGTGACGTGGGGAGTTACCCCGTCACCCTTCTTCTTCTTCTCTAAGTGTTGGAGAATGAGAGGGGAGGTGTTACAGAACAAAAAGAAAAAGGAAACTTCCATCATTTTTCTCTCAAATTCTCTCAATCTCTCCCTCTCTTCGATCAAGGTGCTACCACAAGCACGATCCTGAGACCCAAGAGGATAGCGAGAAGATCCGGTGGTGGTGTTCGAGGGGAACTCACTGAAGAAACGTTCTTCAATGGTTTGATTTTTCCCCTGTTTTTCCTTATTTCAATTTCGGTTTTGTATCCCGAAAATCAACAACGAAGATCCGCTTCCGCTCCGGGATTCTCATCCCTTCAGTGTAAACCCCCCATCTCATTCAGAAGACACAAAGTTTCTCATTTCTTCCAATGGATCTTCCTCTTGGTTTCCGTAAAGCCCCACTAGAATCTAATTGTAACTTTAGTAATATAACCTTTAGGCAGTTTAAAGCAGCCCATTGCATATATGGGGATAACTTGGGCAATGCTTTTAATGAGAATTTATTTTTCCCCATGGGAGAACATATTATTTTTTAGCCTTGAATCGGTTTCTAGACATGTTCCTTGATGCTCTTAAGGTCCTCTCCTTTTGATTTGGAAAAAGAAGAAGGGAATTCCAAGTAGCTACCCAAATTTGTGACCATTTGAACACCCGAAATGGAGCATAAAAACTTCTTACAATCAGAAGGGACATTTGGCAAAAAGCATAGTTCCGACTTGGAGAAGTTTATGCTTGGCCTTATGCCGTTTCACACTCCTGTAGGATCTTCATGACATAAGAGCATTTGAAAGCATTAGTTTTGAAGAAGATTAAGTTGTCATCAGCAAAGAAAATATGCGAAATGTTAGGGCAATTGTCATTTATGAAGATACCTGAGACTGTACGCCTTATATGAGCCACTTGTAAGGAGAAGGATAAACCCTCTGTGCATAGAAGGAAGAGGTAAGGTGATAAAAGATTCCCTTGTCGTAACTTATTGGTAAGAAGGATCTTCCCTCTTGCCTCACCGTTTATGAGTAGGTCTGACTTTGTCTAATCAAGGTGTGTCATGGTATACTCTAACAACATATAAATAAAGGCTTGATTCGCTATGAAACGATCCAATCTAGCATGGATTTCAGACCCCGAACGCTAGTTGTTACACTAGGTAAAAATCTACCCTTAGAACCCAAATCGTGAAGGATACAACAACAGTGTCTCGAATGTTTGTAATTAGCCTCTGGTCTCAAGAATTTATGCCACCAACCACCCATGCCAAGTCATCATAATTGTATAAACGATGGGGGAGTTCTCAAGTATAATGAAGAGATTTATGATTTAAATGTGATAATCAACTTTTTTACCATGTTTCAAAAAAAATAATAAATAAAAGAACTTGTTTACCAAACTAATTAGCTTGTCACATCAACTTATTATTTCTTCTAGAAAAAACGAAAATCCACTCCTCAACAATTTCAAAAGATTTATGATTTCTTACACTAACATTCTAGAGGTCGAGCGATCCTCCTGGACTTAGAGGAGAAACAATGCGCAAAGAATCTGTTTGGATAATCAACTGTGTAAACCCATTTCAATAGCCATAGATAAGCTGTCTCGAATTACCGTTGATTTTGCTTCGTTCATTGTGAACAGATGTTGATGGTTTTGCAGAAAAGTTAGATAAACCTCTCCTCAATTGTCTCTAATTACTCCTTCTAAACCCACTCGTCGAAACTAGCCTCTCTAATTGCAGCATTTGTATTTAATTTAAGCTTGTCGCAAGGCAGAGGTATTAGAGGTTAAACTTGTTATTACTTTACCTAGATTGGTTAATCAGTTATGTATTAAGTTATGCTCACATTGTATTTAGTGAGTTTAGTCTTTTGTATATATAGACTTCTGGATGTATTTTTGTTATCAAGTTAATGAGAATAAGTCATATCTCTCATTACTAAAATGGTATCAGATGAATTTTGACTCCGTGCCATTATTTTGACAATTTCTTCGATTTTCGCGCCTTTCTTTTTTGCGATTCTTCTTCGTTTCCATGGCCTTTGACGTTCCCATCAATACTCCTTCTGATTCACTGGAAGTTTCTGTCACTACGCCTCAATCTATATCTAAGGCTGCTACAAATTCGTATTATTTCCATCATATGGATAATACTTGATTGGTTCTTGTGAATCAAGTTATGATGGAGGAAAATTATATATCATGGAGCCGAACTATGATAATCACGTTATCAGTAAAAAACAAATTGGGTTTTATTGACGAATTGAGCGTCCTACCGGCAATCTTCTACTAGCATGGATTCACAATAACCATGTGGTTATTGCATGGATCTTGAATTCCATTTCGAAGGATATTTCTGCAATCATCCTGTTTTCGGAATTTGCCAGAGATATTTGGCTCGATCTTAAGGAGAGATTCTAGAAGAGAAATGGTCCTTCCAAAATGCCTTCATATTTACGGGATTTTCATTGTAGTCTTTTGGCTTAATCTTCACCATCCCCTACTTCTAAAAGGCATCCTTTACAGCAGTATTTGTCCTATTCATGGCTTTCTTCAGCTTATCGACATTATGTTCTAAATGTTTCTTCTACACCAAGCCGTTTGTTATTCTCATTGGCGTGAAGCCATGAGTGCTGAGTTGCAAGCTATGACTAATAATCACACTTGGACTGTAGTATATCATCCCAATCATTGCCACTCTGTTGGTTGTCGTTGGATTTACAAAGTCAAACTTAAATCTGATGGTTCAATCGAGCGTTAGAAGGCTCGGCTATGGCCAAGGGATTCACTCAACAAGAAGGACTCGACTTCATAGAGACCTTTTCTCCAGTGGCTAAAATGGTCACTGTCAAAGTTCTTCTTACTCTTGCGGTGTCCAAATCTTGGCCTCTCATTTAACTGGATGTCAACAACGCTCCTCCATGGAGATCTTGCTGAGGAAGTTTACATGGACTTACCGCTTGGCTATCAACCCCCTTTTACTTCTAGTCCTCAGGGGGAGCGATTGGTTTGTCGGTTGAATAAATCTATATATAGTTTAAAACAAGCCTCCCGTTAGTGGTTTGCCAAGTATTCCACTGTTTTATTAGGCCTTGGTTTTCAGCAATTCAAGTTCGATTACTCATTTTTCATTCGTGGCAATGGTAATACTTTTTGAGGCTTTGCTTGTATATGTGGATGATATAGTCCTTACTAGGGCTAGTATCTCTCGTCTTTGTGATCTGCAGATTCTAGTTCATGATCGGTTCCGACTCGAAGATCTTGGCTCATTGAAATACTTCCTTGGTCTTGAAATTGCTCGAACTGCCAAGGGTATTTGTTTGTCTCAGAGGCATTAGACCCTCACTCTTCTTGAGGAGTTTGGTTTGCTTTGGTGTAAACCAACCGTTGTTCTTATGGATCCCTCCACAAAACTTCACATTTCGGATGGAACTCCTCTT